GCCGCCGCCGCCGCCGCCGCCGCCTTTCCAGCGCGGGGCTGCGGCCAAAGGAGGGAGGATTCGTGCGTTTGTCTCGTGTTTTGCTTGGGTTTGTTTTCCTCTCGGCCCGCGGGTGTCGCCGGCAGAGGCCGGAGCATCCCTTGGGGAGGGGGATGCGTGTTAAAGAAAACTGCGTCGTATCAGTGCCTATATTTTTTTTTATGATGCTGCTGCAAAACAAAGCGAGGTGCTGGCCGGTTTCAAAACAAGCTGAGGGCTGTTTTTAAAAACGGGCTTTTTCTCCGCTGCGTGGAAGCAATCAGATGCTGCGGAGAAGCGCAGGGCAACCGCAGCGGTTTGCCCGCCGAGCTTCGAATGTGGCGTAATGCGCACGTGTGCAAGGCACGGATGTGCAACACGTGGATGTGCAGCATGCGGATGTGCAACGCGTGGATGTGCAACACACCCCTGTGCAACACACGCCTGTGCAACACACCCCTGTGCAACACATGCCTGTGCAACACGCGCCTGTGCAGTGTGGGCTGTGCACCGCGTGCCCGTGTACCCTGCGCTCCCCACCAGCCGGTCTGCTCCTTGTGCAGGGATCAGCTGGCCGCGCACTGCCTTCCTGCAGGTCACCCCGGCCCTGCCTGCTCTTGGCTGGGGTCCTGGGAGCAGGGGCCTGTGATCCAGCTCGGCGCTAAAATTGGGTGCCGGGCACGGCCGTTGTTGCGAGGGCGAAGGTGGACAGGGCAGCAGGGCGAGGATGCGGTTGCCGGCCCGCGGAGCAGTGGGTGGCCATGGGCAGCTCCTTGTRGGTGCCGCTGCCGCCATCCCTGCGTGCGCGGGACACCTTGCCTTCCTGCCCGCCTTCGCTGGGCCAAAATGAGCCGTGTCCCCCCATTTCCATCTTGTCTGGAGGCCGCTGCCCTCGGATCCTGGTCAAGGAGCCTCCCACCACAAGGACAGGGCCACAGGAGCAGGCGGCCCAGTGGCCCTCCTGCCTGCAGGCACGGGAGGGAGACCTGGGGCTGGGCCCCACAGGCCACCAGCAGCTCCCAGCACCAGCCCAGACTGGGCCCACAGCCGAACGAGCCAGGCCGCAGGGGCCTGGGCCTGCCGGATACCCGGCTGACTTGGGAAGCGTGATGGAAAGTGGAGGTTAATAAGCAGCATTTCAGGCTGGCGTTGCATAACCGTGGAGGACAGCTCTTCTTCTGCTGACTTTCTTTGTAGTACTGGAGCAGCAGTTAAATACACTCTTTATTTTTGCTGGTATTGTCTGTTGTRAAAGCCATGGGTCTGAACATTGCCCCTATTCTCATAAAACAGGATTTTTTTTTATAATAGGAGGTGGGTGGGAAGAGATGCTACCTTTGCCTTTTGTCTTGATCCATGAGTTATTCTTTTGGGAATAGTTTCCAGGAGTTCATCCCTGGCTTCTGTATATGCRTATCCTTGAAGCTGGAGCAAGGAGGAGGCAAGGAGCTATTGCCCAGTTTTATTTTCCATTTCAGCTTTCCCAAGTAAACAGACTTTCTGCTGCTAAAAGCCGTGCATGCGTTTTGAAGGATGTTGGTACGTCCTGATCCGTTAAAACAGGCATTTTGTTTGGGATGTGGCAAGACTAAAGCAGCGGCCGTGCCGGGCCGCATCCCCGTCCCTGCTCCGAGCTGCCCATTCCTGCACCCTCCTGCYGCTGGCTGCAGTATCCAGCGCATTTTGAGAGGGTCTGGCTTAGAACAACAGGCAAAAGGAATTTCTGCTCSCAACAGGGCAGCTGTGCTGGCATATTTTTGCCCCCAATTTAGACCCACACCAGAGCTGGGTTGGTGAGGCAGCTGGGCTGAAAATGGAGAGCACTTTATTTATTTATTTATTTTTAATTATTTTTTCCTCTGCTGGCACTGTGGGGCAGCAGGAATGCGCCGCTCGGGGGCACCTCGGGGTGCTGCCAGGCCGGGCAGGCCCGTGCCAGCCGCGGAGCACACGGCCCGCGGGACGGGAACGGGGATGGGGATGGGAACAGGCGCCAGGCCCGGCCGAGCCGCCCGCGGAACCGCCACAACAAGGGGCCCCCTTCCAGCCTTTTGGGGGGCTGAGCCCCCTGGCTGAGGGGCTCGGAGGGGCCTGTGGGTCGCGGAGGGTCTTTTTGGGCGCCTGGGCCAGCAGGTGATGTCTCGTGTGCGTGGGGCAAGAGTGCCCTCTAATGTTGGCCATGGCGGCGGGGGACAACTGGGGGGGGGGTTTTGCAGTAAGATTTGCCACGTTGGTGGGGGTCCAGCTCGCTTTCCTGAAGCCCCTGTCCCTCTGCGGGTCTTTCCGCATCTCGGAGCCCCCAGGACGTGGCAGCGTTGGGATACGGCTCCGGTGGATGTCTGCACGCCACCCAGAGGCCTTGGGCGTCCTTGGATGCAGCACGGCAGGTGCTGGGTGCATTCACTTTATTCCATGAGAATTAGGGCCCRGGAGCAGATTTGCAGCAATAGAGCAGGGCCCCATCCTTCCGCCTGCTCCTGAGGCTGCTCCCCTCCACAGGGGCTCGGAGCGGAGCAGGACCCCCCTATGGGATCCGGCTCCTCCTTCCCTCCTTCTCCAGGTTGGAAAGCCCTAGGGCTTGCTCCCCCTTTGCTGCGATGGGCTGTGGAGATACCCAGTGAGGCAGCCAGGTGAGATAATTCCTGCTCCCTCCCTGGCTTCTTGTTGCTGCCCTTTAATTAATTTATCTTCTTGCCCACAGCTTTAAATTGGCTTTCAGCGTGGCAGATTTCTGAAGGCATCTCACTAAAATTGTGTGTGCTCTTAGTCTTGGAAAGCGATGCTTYTGTAAGCTCCTGGCTAGAGCCACAGCATTAATTTTGCTGCGAGCATCGTGTGAGGACCCAACATGACATGGTCCAAGGAGCTCCCTCAGCCAGGGGACAAGCAGAAGGAGAGCTGGATTAAACAATTCAAGTTTAAATATCAGAGCAAAAATTCCCAGCGTGGTGGGGTAGGATTTTCATCTGGGAGCCAAATAATCCAGATTTTGCAGCCCTTCCCAAAGCATCAGTGAATTAGCTGGGTACAGGTATTTGCAAGTGAAAATACGAAACAGGTGAAATCAGTTAAGCTAGTGGTGGCCAGGTGCTAGTCCATTGTGATCTGGAAATGATTCGGTGGGGTATCTCTGGAGGTGCTATATTTGTGGGATTTGAGTGGTTTCTAGACCAAATGTGCTTGCTTTTCCAGGAGGAGAGCATGGTTCCCTGAGGTGTCATCCTCTGATTTTGATCCTGGCTTTTCTTCTACATGCGCTATTGTTGCTAAACAAGGTTTTTGTTTTCCCCTGCCTGCTGCTGGAGGCTGGACCAGGAGAGCAGAAGTGAATGGTGCTGCAGAGACACTGCTCTGTGAGCAGTGAGGTTTGAGAGGTGCGTGAAGTGGAGATTTCTCAGCAATGACTTCCAGCAGTGGACCACGCTGGTCGGTGGCTTCTGACCTCTTCCATTTCTTATTGTACCGTTCTTCTGTATTATAGGAGAAAATATCTGCTTAACTTGGCTAAAATGTCACGAGATACAAGGTAAATCATGGTGGCTGCTTGAAGATAGAAACACTGGCCTGGGCCGTGCTGGATTTGTAAATTTGACCTTAAAACCTGTCTCCGGCCCCCTGGGAAGTTCCTGCTGCTTCCCTGGACATCCTGCAGCAGGTCCCACGCTGCAGTCTCGCTGCTGAAGCACCCTGGAGCAGGTCCAGCTCTGGCAAAGTAGGTTTGATTGCATTTTTTGTTGTCTCATCTAGCTACAGCCTGCGTGGCTGATGATGTAAGTCTGGCTGGCAGAGCAAATATGCCTAAGGTCTGGTCTGAGGAGCTTTAAAAGCTTCTCTGACAGCGCTGCCAGCTTGCATATTTGCTCCGACTGTATACCCATCCCCTGCAAGACTTCAGCCGCAATAAAGCGGTATTTGCATAGAGAGAGAGAAAAATACGACCATCGGACAAGGATTTGTAAGGCCCTTGGATCCCAAAGAGACTTAAAGATGTCCAGCTTTCCCCAGCTGCTTCCCAAGCTGCCAGAAACCCGCCCTATGTAAGAATATTAGTAATAATAATGTTATAAATGTGCTTTGCCCAGCCCGGATTGCTCCCAGTTCTCCTATAAATTACAGGGGCTTCAGCACGATTCAATGACAAGCAGCTTTTGCCATTCCAGGAGGTGGCTGTGTCGGATGACCTGCTGCCTGCTGGAGGCTGTTTGTGCACGTCAGCTTGTGTCACATCCAGCACGTTCCGGGGCTATAAACCTTGGGTGTCCAGTGCTCTGGGTGTATCCTGAAGCCAGGGCTCCATCCCCGGCCTAACAGATCTCTGCAGCTTGGGCTTTAGGATGCTTGGGCATCCTTGGATGAACCAGCACAGCTGTTGTGCTGAAGCTCATGCCCTTCCCAAGATTTTCCTTCTTGCGGGAGAGCAATTCCTGTGGCTGGGCTCAAGTGAAGGCCTGGGGAGGCCCGACAGTGTCTGCCCCGGGGAGGTCGTGTCGAAGCCAGCGAGACTGGGTAGGAAGCACTGAACTATTTCGTGTTATTCTTGGTGCAACTCTACTGAATTCAGGCCACGGTATTTTTCCCAAACCCACAGTCTCTACCCTGTATTGCATATTTTGATGTCAAGTTCTAGCATTCAGAAATGTTGTCTTCTGGTTTAGTTTATCCCAAATATTAGAAAGGAGAAACTGTCCAGTGGTTAAGCAGCTGCACTGGAGTCCATTAGATGACCCGGGCTGATGCCAGGCTCTTCCCCTGGCTTCCTCATGGATTTGGGACAAGGCATCAAGTCCTTCTGCCCTCTTATCAGATGAGGAAGATCTACTTCATTTCCCTTGTCTGAATCTCCAGCTTTTATTGAGTTTACAAGGCCCCAAATGGGGCCTCGATATTAGATGGAGCTCTTGAGCTTTGCCTTTAAAAAGTTAATAACAACCGGCCCTATTTCAGATAAAATGTGATTTGCAGTTTAATATGCTAAGTTACAAAAAAAAATTACCAAAAGAATGAACAATGGTCTTTCCATTTCGCAAAATAATTTGCCAAGCAGAATGAGCGCACCGGCGTTTTTATAAAAACAAATTATAAATAATTGCTTTTTGCAATTTAATATGCACATAGAAAGAGCCAAAAGAGTCCTGCAGCCACTGGGAATCTGATTTCGTTGCCGATTTGGACTGTCTCTGTAGTCCTTATGAAAATCCCTGAAGACTGTGTTATTTTGTAAACTAAACATGCCTATTTTTTTCCCCCTTTTCAGGCCATGTGGATTCTTTCCATTCATTAGCAGGCAGCTTTTTTTTTTTTTTTTTTTTTTCCCCCCCCCTAACACAATTAGACAAAAGAATAAATCAGTCAACAAACATGGGACATAATTTTGGCAATAGCAGCCTGTATATGCTCTTATTTGCTTAACCATATAAATCTTTCACCAGATTACAAATGAGGCCATTTCACTCGATGTTGGGGCAGGGGGAAGGGAGGGAGTTTGCTTTAAGTGTTGAGTAAGGAGAGTTCAGTAAGTCCCTAAACTTCTTAATATTCTCAGCTTTCCACTCTGATTTTTCCAGAAGTGAGCAGATAAGCATGCTTTAGTGAAGATATACCAGGGAAGGCAACTATAAATACTCCCCAAATGTTGAGAGTAAGTGTTAGGGCTTAATGCACAAGCTAATTGTCTGCTAGGCAGTTTAGTTGCGAGGTGTTTATCTCCTCACTTGCTTTTACCATAGTTCTCTGGATTATCAGTCCTTTAAAACTCATTTATCCTACTCAAGAGAATGCAATTCCTATGTGCCATAACTGCTTAATTAATTCTTCCCCATCTTTTGCATTAATTTATTTTTTTTAAGTAGGACTCATTGGTGACTGGGTGCTCCCAGGGATGTATCTGTAGCTGATGCAGAAGGTGCCTTTAGGTAAAATGCAATGCAAGCCCATGCTGTCCATCACTACAATGCATTTCCCTGCACAGATCCAAGTCAAGTGGGATCTAGCTGGATGTGTCATTGGTCCCAGGAGTGGTGTGCAGTAGCCCTTTCCTGGTGGTTTGTGTCCCTACCACAACGCACCTGGCTTTGGCATCAATTTTAGGCCTCCACTTCACAATATCTTGTCTTTCCCTAAAAAAAAAAAAAAAAAAAGGAATTTAAACTAACCTTTTACTCCAAATCTCCTGTCAATGCCCATAAAAAGGAGGTGAGCCTTGGTGGGAGCACGGTGGGGATGGGTATAGGCAGAGTTCTGTCATTAACTTTGCCTCTCYGTTTGATGTTGATAACTTGTACACAGTGCAAACCAAGATGTTTTACTGGAGAGTTCTGCTGAGTTGCAGGAAATCCCAAGCACTAAATTAATAAAATTAGTTGCGTTACATTTAGATGATCTACATGGTTAGCACTGATTCTTTGCTAAACTGGGATGTTCTCAAGGCACCTTCCTTGAGTAACTGCTAAGCTGTGGTGAGCAGGATGAGTAGCCAGTTGTGGTGTGAGTTATGTGGTTCATAAATTTCCTTTCAGCTACTCATGCTCTTAATAAGTTTATGAAAGGTTGTTTCTCTGCAGCTACTAGTGATATGGTACCAACACCTGGGGAAAGGGTGAACTTTCAACCTTCCCCTCATTCGCTGGGAGGCAGAACCTGACAGGCCTCATCGAATCAGGAGGCTCTGCAGCAACGGGTGTTGTGCACACACCATAAAACGATGGTCCTTACCCCAGAGATCTCATAGCAACCTCTCCCTATCCTTGATTMAAACTGGGCAGTCCTGATGACCGCAATCTTTCCTCAGGAATAAGGCAAACCGTGTAGTGGGTCATGTGAGGAAGAGCATGGCCAGCTGGTCTGGGGAAGTTCTCATTCCCTCTGCTCGGTGCTGGTGATGCTGCCTCAGTGTCTGGCCTCCCCAGCTCAAGGGGGCTATGGACAGACCTGAGGGGGCGCTGTGCAGGGCAGTGAAGATGGTCAAGGGCACATGGATGTGCGGGAGGTAGAGGCTCTTCTTGAGGGTGACAGCTCCTACCACAAGGGACTTCACGCCCAGGTACTTAGCTGGCCAGTCTGCTTCCTGGGAGATATTCAGAGCTGATCTAGAAAAAATATCATTGCCAAACTGATAGCCTTGCTCAAGCAGGAGGCTGCCCGAGAGATCTCCAGAGGTGTCTCCCCCAGCAGTCCTGTGGACCTGTGATAAGCCAGTGAGATGGAATCTCTTTTTGTTTCCTCTTAAAAAAAAATGCTCAACCAAACATCCAGACTTCAACAAGTAAACAAACAGAGCCCCAAGCAAAGAAAACCCAGGGAGACAAATGAGTTTTGTTTGTTTTAGTTCCCCAATTTGTAGCCAGCCTAATTTGTGAGGCTGTAACAATGTTTTTCCTCCTCTTCCCCAGTGTTTTGGCTTGGCTGGTAGTCTGTGGTCTGAGTGGAGACACATGTGGGTATTTGCTAGCTTAGGCTCTCTGTACRTTTGCAGCGCCTGGCATGGAGTGGAGGGAAAAGGATCAACTGAAAAATCCTGGCTAGAGCTCATGTACATGCATCGAACACTTAGGTTTGGTCTAGTACCCGCCTAAATCTATTGTGGGTAGCACGAGGACTTGGAGACAGTCAAGTCTTATTTTCCACCTTCAAAACTAGAAGTGCTTTTCATGAAGAGTCAAAACACTCATCTTGTGTGAGCCACCGGTACCAAAGATGTGAAGGAGTTAAAAGAGTTGTGTCCACGTGATGGTATTTGGAGCGAAGTCCAGTGTGGGCCCTGCGCGGATCCTCAGGCTGGTCTTCACTGGGATGGTCCTTGGGGCAAGCAGCCCACCTGGGACAAAGCTGCGGAACCAGATCCCTGGTTCGGTGAGGGACTGCAAGTAATCCAAGGGGAAAGAAACCGTAATCCCTGGCATGGTGACTCAGCACATTTCCCACAGTTAAGCTTTGAACTGTAAACACCTCTTGGCACTTCCCCGGCACGAGGCGTTGCCAGCGCCGCCGCAGCTCCGTGCGGGAGCTCCCAGCCCGGTGGCGAGYGGCACCATGAGCCCCGCGGGAGGCCCCGCTGGCCCGGGCGGTCAGCAAGGAGCCGGGGGGGCCAAGAGCGAGAACGAGGAGCGGCTGGAGGAGGCGGCGAAGCAGCGAGTGATCYGTGTCGCCTACGTGGTTGCCACGCTGGATCTCGTCTTCTTGTTCATGCAGCTGGGAGTCCTGCCGGTGAGGGCGGCTGGCCGGGCTTTGCTCCGGCTGCGGGGTGTCCTGAGGGGCTSTCTCCAGAGCAAGCGTGGTAGAAAGCTGGGTTGTTGCAGGTGCATCTAGAGCCCTTTTGGGGCTGCGGGCCCCTGTGGGGGCTCTGCGTGGGGGTAGTTTGTGCCTCTCTGCTCCCCTGGCTAACAAGGGGCTCAGGTAGGCGGGCTGCCAAGCTGAGGGGCTGCAGAGGTCCTGCAGGAGCCTGCAGCTGGCCCTGAGGCGAGGAGCAGGTCCTTGAAACCGTGGGAGGTGCCCGGTGTGGCAGGGCTGAACAGAGACCCAGAGCAAGGTGGAGGATGGGTGGCTGGGCGGTCAAAGCAAAGCATCAACATCTGCATCTTCCCCCCTACCAAAGCCAATGGTCCAAACTCAGGTTGCTGGGAGGGAGCAGCAGCAAGCGCAGATATGGGTGCTACCTCTGCAGGTATCCTGTATTTTGTTCATCTCCTTTTTTTTTTTTTTTTTTTTTTTCCCTTTAMAAAAGCACCCAAAGGAAGCAGTAGGTGAGACCACCCAGAGCAGAGTTATTCTTGTCATTGTCCAAGGCCCAGTCACAGACTGCTTAAATAGAGTAATCGAGGTTAAGGGAGTCAGGCAGCTTTGGAAAGCTCATCTTCATCTACTGCATTCCCACACTTTGCCCAGCAGGACCAAGCAGAGCCAGGAAAGCCTCTGGACATGGATGCAGGGCACCCATCAGGAAGGTGGGTTGGTTTGGGGACACCTCTGTGCCTTCAATGATGGTTTAAACTTTGTGTGCCGTGAGCCGAAGGAAACGAGTGATTAAACCGTAGTCCTCTATGTGCAAACATGAGGCTCTTTATTCCAAAATATAACATATTTAATTTCCCAATTTCCCTAACTTTTTTGTTTTCCCAATTTCCCTAACTTTTTTGTTTTGTTTTGTGTGTTTTTAGTACTTGGCAAAGAGCCTAGGTTTGGACTCAGTTGGGTTTGGCTACCTCCAGACAACCTTTGGTGTCCTTCAGCTCGTGGGAGGCCCCATTTTCGGAAGGTGAGTGAGAACGATTCTCATGACCCTTTTCATTGCTGAAAAAAGCCAGGCATTCTTATATTTAATAAAAATGCTTTATTTGTAGTTCATGCTCCTGTTGAAATGTTTGAAGATTTCATGAATGGACAAGGGGAAAATAAATACTGTAATTACAAATACTGCAGCATTGAAGCAGCCTTTATGTTAACTTAGCTATACTTTAATGACAAATATTTAAGTGTAACAATATACTCAGGTCCTTAGAGCCTGAATTCTAATAATTTAATCTTGCAGATATTTTATGGCTGTGTGTAAGCTCAGAAATGTCATATGACTGTGAAACCTTTAAGAAAGAGAACATTTATTAAGGAGAGCTTTTGGTAAAAAGGATGAGGATGATGTTATTTCTACAGCTGATTCTTGCCTCATCAAGGTTAATGTGATTAGGCATAAAGCTACAATTTCTTTAGATTTTATATGTTCAGGGCCCAATTCCAGTACCATCTGAAATCCTGGGTTTTATCCATGCATGTTTTTCCCTAATGCCCATAAGAGATACTAAACGAGAACAGAGAAATGACGTACAGAAATCCATTTAGGACTGAAGGAAGATATTGCCATACAGAAACCAACCTTTGCAATGTAGAGATGAAAAGGCTCTTTCTAAATTTGCAAACGTTTTCTCCTCTGCACAGACATGAAAGAAAAGGAGGAGCAATAAGAAATGGAAATGTGGAAGCAACTTACGTCAGTTTTTCTTATTCATCTCGACTGACACTGCTTAAGAGCCATGAGAAGATGACGCACTGAAATTACTATTTAGAGCAAAATCAAAAGAGCCCTGAGCTATCTAGTGAATCGAGGTCCTTAGGTTACAAGCAGCCAAGATAAACTTCCGTGGCTCTGATGTAAACAGCAAAGCTTTGACCCGTTCCTTTTCCTCAACACGAACCCCTTACGTTACTCGTGCCTGAAATTGTTTGTAGACACGTCTTCTGTGTGAGGTACCATTTATCTGCTAGCTGCAATATGAAACTGTAATAAAACGAAGAAAGGAGGGATTGGAGTGAAAAGCTTTTCTAGGGCTTGTCTTATGGTAATCTTAGTCCCAGCTGCTAAGGCAGTTTCTGTTGTGCTCTTGGATTTTGTCCAAATTAGTGTTTTAAAATTTCCTGTGAAGCCGATGCATTTAAACCAGGGAGCTGAACAAAACCCGAATCAAAAACAAAGCCTGTTTTGGCTGTTTCTTTTTTCCCCCATCAAAGGGGAGCAAATTTGAACCACTACTGCAAAGTCTGTATTGACCCTAAACATAAAACTTTCTCTTTATTTTCTTTAATTGAAACCGAGTGAGAGCAGTTATTCTGAACGTGCTCTGGAAAGGAATTGGAGCAATTTCCATCACCGTTGGACCTGAACAGAAACATCAGCTAGCCTGATTCCTTGCTCTGAACCTACTCTAAGTAAAATTTGAGGGCAAGAGACACACAGAAGTTTTAATATTTAGTGAGTTTCTTGCACTTCAACTGAGCTGCTCTACCTGATAAAACACATTTATTTGTTCCAACATCAGTGGAAGCAATTCAAGCAAGTGCAGTGAAGTGCTTGTGCTCATGAGGGGTCTGGACATCAGCTGAGCAGTGATAGCTGCTGTGATGAATTTGTATGTCTTGGGTAGTTGTGCATTGCACTTAAAATGCCCTACAAAGTCCCACTTCTGAAAACTTGCCACACTTTCTGTACCAGATTTGCTGACCAGTTTGGTGCCCGAGCTGCCTTGATACTCTCCTGCGCRTCCGAAAGTGCCTTCTTCCTGCTGGTGTCCATCTCCACCAGCATCCCTCTCCTCTTCCTCTCCCGGCTGCCCTCGATCTTCATGCATGGGATGCCAGGTAAGGTTGGCGAGGCTGAGGGGCTTCCCAAATTGCTGTTATTGCCCAACTCTGCTCTTCTTACTCACCTTGCTCAGAAGCAACAGCCCCAGCAGCAAGAAGTAGGAGGACCATGTTGGTAGCTACCAAGGTTCAAGCAGTGAGAGCGTTAGACAGCACATAGTTTGGCTACAGAAAGCAGCACTTGTCATAGTTCCTGTCATCTAAAACACAGAATTATACAATCAATTTCTGCAATCTTGCAAAAGATCTTCAAGATCTTCAAGTCCGACTGCAAATCCATCACCACTGGACCCTAACACTCCTTAGCTTCTGTGGCAAGTATTTTCACAGGCTGTTTTTCCTTGCAGGTGCTCAGAAGGTTATTACAGATCTGACTGCTCCTTCTGAACGTGCTGGTGCATTGAGCAAGTTGGGCCTTAGCTTTGGGGTAGGAATTATCGTCGGTTCTATGCTGGGAGGCGTCCTCTCCACCAAATTTGGGTGAGTGATTGAGTTATCTGGTGTTGGTCTTGTTGCAACCGCTGAGGGAAGTGTTACGGAGTATTTTGAGTATTTTGTTTTGTTTTTCCCAGCTTTTGATGAYATTTTATTCCTTAAATGAAGTCTTAAACTGAGAAAGCTGTATTCTTGTGCTGAAGCAGGACCTGGTACAAAGTAGAGTGTCCAAAAGGTTTCTCTGACTTCTGCTAAGAGATATACAGTGTTTTTAGCAGAAGGAGTCAATAGGGCAAAGACATTCCCAAGCTGGCTCCTACTACTGCAGCCAACTCTATGTTCTGTTGTGCCAGAAGGAGAGAAAGAGTTGGTGACGTTATAACCGTGCTGGATAACTTGGTAATAGACTCTTTTTTGCTCTGTTGGTGATGGTAAAGGACCATACTAGAATTTCATATTTTTTCATAATGGAAAAGAAATTAATAATTTGAAGTGTTAATTTTGCTCTTTCTTTTTCTTTTAAAATGGTCTTTTGCTTCTACAAATTGAGATTAGGAAAGCAATTGCTTCTCTCCCAACACATGCGAGCATTACAGTGTTTCTGTAGGGCAGGTTAGAGGCTAAAGATAGTTACGGGAATCTCTGGATTTCTGGAATTCTGCTTCTTCCAGAGGAAATTGGTGTCACGGATCCATTTTTTGTGCCCGCTAGATGTCCCCATAGGTCTGCCTGAAGTGTGCAGCGCGGTGTGCTGGCTCTCCTGCTTGCCTGGTGAGCTGGGGTTATGCCTTGTGTACCAGCTTTCATCACCTTCAGGCAGCTTAGTGAAATATCCCTGGTTCCACTAGCTTTTCCTGATTTCAGGTTATGATCCTTTTCCCTTTTCACATGTGCAATTAAAACTTGTGTTGTAAGTACTACCGATTTGGAAGTTTTTATGGATGTTGCTGCTCAGGTGTCTTCTAGCAGGCATTCCTTTTCATCCCCAACAATAGCTGCTTGCCTTCAATGCATGGCAACTGGCCAAAGGTCAAGATTACCGTTGGCTTAATCCTTGGTTATGTGCCCATATTTAAACATCTGTATTGCTATTTTGCCAAAGGATGTGGTTTTGGCATTCCTTTCTATGGGTAGGACTTTCAATGGGTAGGATGACGGCCAGGCAGCCTTGAACACACTGAAGATCAAGCACAACCCAATTAACACAATCAGTAGGTGAGTTTGAGGAGAGAGTTTTGTTATCAGTTGGATTCTAGCAGAGGTCCCTGCTCCCCATACAACTTCCTGGAAAAGTGTTGGAAAAAATGCTGGAAGGAGGATTTAGGGTTTGGTTGTAGCCTCTTGTGTCAGTGCTGCGGGTTAAGGGCTCCCTTCTCCAAAGGGGAAAGGCGAGCGTAGGTGGCCAAAGCACAAAGGCTTCCTCCTTTCTTCTGGGACCTTGATTAATTGCACTTGGCTGCTTTTCCCTCCTTTCTTTCTCCCTTTCCAAGGGGGACACGCAAGCGCTTTGCTGCGCGGCCCGAGGTTTGTTTGCTTTCTGCACCCGGGGAGAGGTTTCTTCCTTCTGGTGACTCAGCTGTAGGCTTCAATCGCTTGGAGAAATTATGCGTTTGAACTTGGGGTTTTCCTGGCCAACCCTCTTGGGTTTCTTATTTAACATTATTACAGCAAGGTTTGGGGAGGGTTTTCTCCTTCTTTTTCTTTTGGCTGGGCTATTATCCCCCTTCCTCAAGGGGAGAAGAAAGAGTTTGTTTGCCTGAAGTAGGGAATTACATTTATTTTCTTTTTAACTCCCCTTTCAATAAGCCGTTTGAGCAATGTCCTCTGGCAGGGAATTTCTCAGGCGGCGGAATGGGAAGACCGTGGGCGTTGGGAGGGCCGGAGCGGGGCGAAGGGGAGCGTTCCCTCTGCGCACAAAGCCGGGCATTCTGTGGCTGGGAAGCGCGGCTGCCCCGGCCCAGCTCCGGCCTCGCACTCCGTGGCCGGGAATGGCGTTGCCGGGCCTGCTGACGCCACCACAGGCCTCCCTTTGTCCTCCCGTCCGGGCGCCTTCACAGGGCCCCGCGGTGCCCGTCCGTGCAGGAGCGGCTGCCGGGGTGTCCGTGGCCATCGCTCCGTGGTGGGAGCGGGAAACAGGCTGTTTGGCATGAAGCCATCGCACTGGGGAAGCAGAGCAGGAGCCCTATGATCCAAATCAGCTTTTTGTTCTGTGGCGTTTGGTTGTGGCCTTCCTTGGTAAAGGAATGACAGGATGAAGGAGATTGAAGCTGTTTCTTTTCCCTTTAATCTTAACTTTTTTTTGAAAGCCACAGTCCCCACGATTAGGTCTGTAGCTCTGTGTGGTGTCCCCCATCCCCGCACAGCTTGTCGGAGCAGAGCTTGGGTCCAGTCTGTTCCTCTCCTCCATCCCCAACCTCTGAGCATTTCGACTTGGGTAACCCAGTGTTGAACCCGAGGAGCGCCTCGGCACGCGCTGGGTGGAGCTCATCCTCATTTCCGGCATCTGCGCCACGCACAACAGCGCCCAAAGGTGCTGGGCAGGCTCGGCAGGGTTAATGCAGAGGTAGGGGCTCCTCTGCAGCATGAGGCGTCTTCTGAAACGTATCTAAAACAGCTTTGGGGGACTGTCTCCTTCTCCAAATCCATTTTTCCTCTCTGACTGCATTGGACCTCAGCTAAGAGTGGTCAGGGCCTTGGTAACTGCTTCCTTGGGGTTCCTCTGGGATCAGTGGAATAAATTCCACTCTTCACACCCCCATGTGAGAGCCCTTTGCTGCTTAAATTAAGCTGAAAATCTGAGCCCTGGGAGTCCAGGACGCTGACCCCATGTTCACAGCTGAACTCCTGGCATGTGGTGCACCGTGAAAGTGCACGAGGTCATCCATGAAAGTGCGCGAGGTCATCAGGACACAAGTGCTGAGCTGGAGTTTATCCCAAGCATGCGGCCGTCATGGGGTCATGGGGTCGCAGGCAGATCCATGGAAGGCTCCTCAGCTCACCCTTCCCACCCTGGACCTCTGTCTGGGAAAAGACCTGAGCTCCCACCTCTTTTAGGCCACTGGTTCTAGAGCTGGGTCCACTGGCTCCCTCTTGCTTACCCCTTTCAAGACCACAMTGCATGTATGAAGGTGGCCACAGTGGGTCTTGCAAATCTTGGGTAAACTAGGTGCTTTCTTCTCTCTTCTCACTCCCAAACCACCCTCCATATGCTCCCAAACCACTCTCCATTTGCCCATAGGTGGGGCCCTTTCCCAAGGGAGGAAGAGCKGCAGGTCCCTGGTGCAGCTCCAGTCTCAAGGCAGGTGGAGGCACCTGCCTGGTGGCTTCCCCCCATACCACTGTGGGCCGGTGGGACCCCATCGCTGAGCTCTGGGGACTGCTCTGGGGCTTCTTCCCTCACAGGAACTCTCCCATGGCCTTCTGGTTCTCCAGTGATGCAGAAGGAATGCTAGGAGATAACTGGGAGGGTGGAAATTATTTGGGAGGTTGGACTAGAGGATTGTTAGAGGTCCCTTCCAACCTCAACYGTTCTGTGTGTGATTGTGAAAGGGGAAAAGAGCCAGAGAGGGCTTTTCCTTGGGCTTCTTGCCCACCTTCCACCCTCACTGAAGTGAGCGAGGTGGGCGAGCGTGTGTCTGCCCATCAGCAGAGCCGGTGTTTCGAAAGCCACCTCTGCTGCAAAAACAAAATTTTGGTTTTTTGTTCAATTTGTTCAAAAACAAATCAAAACAAACCCCTCAAAACTTTATGGACAAGCCCAGAGCCCTTTGGCCTGGTCTCCCCAGAGGAAGCAGCACGGGGGAGCAGTCCTTGGTCCTTGCCGGGCAGGTTGCACAATAACCCAGTGTCTCCGCATGACTCACTAGCGCTTCATCTGCTCTTCCCACTCCAGGAATATTTCRTGACCGGACGGCAGCTCCGGCAATGTCCCTGGGGACCCAAACCAGGGGAAATACTGTTTTCTTTGTTAGCACAGAATAGAAAGCACAGAATCGTCTGTGGTCGAGCCCCTGACCTGGGATTTGAGACTTGGCTGTGTCATGGTTTTCCTGTGATCCAAGTAAATCATCTCATTCCCCTGCACTTGTGTTCCTCATGCATGGGAAGGGGCGATGAGATGTGTTTTCCCATCCATCCCTCCCCCCATCCATCCATCCAAGCTGTCCCTGTCTCGAGTGTACTGGCTTTGGGATGCAGTCTGTCCCAAGATGTGTGCATGCAAATGCCCCTTGCCTTGGGACAACGTACCCAGTTTTTCCTGGGCTTACCTTCTTTCTCTACCCCTAGCATCCTGAGCAGGGAGAAGGCTTGTGAGCACAACTTGTACCCATTTTCCAAGAGGGGAGGGTGTTTCTGATTTTATTTACTCCTTTATCAGGAGCAGATGTGAGCAATTTGCTGTTGTCCCTGCAGCAGGGAGAAGCAAGGTGAGGCAACCGTGTGGCTCAGTGGGGCTGGGGGCAGCTGCCCAAGGAAGGGGGCTGAGCTGCAGAGAGCTTTGCCTTGCAGGAGGAACGTTCCCCTTGGTCATGCAAGCACATGACTGGGTGCTCTCTTCCGTAGATTAAGCGGGTCGTGCTTGCATTTAATTGTGATCTGCTTCTGCATAAGCCCAGCCTTGTGGTGGGAGTCTGGTGAGCTCCGGGCAGGAAGGATGTGGTTCTTGCGTGGGAAGGAATATCAGGYGAGGTAGGGAGGAAGGACTGGGATGAATGGGAATGCGCAGCTTTGAGGGCGTGTGGAAAGTGGATTGGGAAGGAAAAGGACTTTAGGCAGTGGCCTCTGGCTCGGGTTCTGGGCTTAGCACTTCTAGATTTGCTGGGACCTCTGGAACAACAAAATTGGTGCATCAAGGCACTTGGCTGGAAGGAAATTGGGCAGAATTTCCAAAATGGGTGCAGTGGGGATCACAGCAGTTACTCGGGCCATCAGTTGGCTGCTGCTGCTCCAGTGCACCTGCTGGATGAGAGCAGCTTCTCCCTGCAGGTCACCTGGCAGCTCACGGGCATCATAAAAGGCCCTGTGGGCCCTTCTGCCATCTTGAG